TCTGTTGCCTCTCACCAAGCTTTTTTCATTATATCTTCCTGAATAATTAGCAAACTCATTTAATAGGCATAGACAATGAAGGTCAGAAAGGTTAAATGGCTGGTCCTTGAGGGCACAGTGAATATTACTGAGGGAGGAAGAGCTAGGAATAAAAACACAAGTCTCCCGACTTAGAAATCAAGGTCTGTCTCTTAGGATATAGTCACATAAATGTTAAAGATATTCGCAAATAAAATTAGTAATATTTCCAGGTTCTGATCTAAACCATATTTAATTTACCTCATAGTTTAACATTTGCTCTTTTCAAGGAAAATTAATTCAATTGCAATTTTGAGTGGTAGGGAATGGAGAAATTGATCTAAAAACATTTTCTTTTAGACCAAAACGTTTTAAGTGACCAATTTCTGCAGTGCAAAAGAAAACATCAAATTCACCCAAAGTAGCAGGATGATCTGGTTCTTTCCTGTTTAAGCAACTTGCAACACCAATTTCTCATGTCTCAAATGTTATTCTACTTATGTCACAAATATTCCCATCTATTCTGTGTCTGCTTGATTCAGTAACACTCTTGAAAGTTGACAGGAACCACTGCTGTATTCATTGACAACTTACAAATAGCCAGGAGACACTGACTTGTCAAAGTGAACAAGGCATGGTGGATGCTCCAGGGACTCAGGGAGCCGAGCTTTTACAAAAGGTAGAGGAGAATGGCTTCAAGGTATTGGAGGAAAGAGGTATATCCACTAGCTGAGGCAGTCTAAAGGTTTTCAGGAGGAGCTGAACCTTGAAAGGATGACAGGATTCAGAGAAGAGGGCTAAAAAGGAGAAAAATTGCAAACAAAGATATGCTTCTGAGGTCCTGAAAACAGTACATTGATCCTTAAACGCTACTGAAATTCTCTACTGGATTACAGAAAAAATTATTTCACTATATTCCCCTGAAGGAAATAGAAGTCATCCTAAAGAAGAGAGACAAAAGGGTACAAAGGCAACTTTTCTGTAGACAAACATTTATTGGACACAAAATACTTGTCAGTCACTGTGCTAGGTAATGGGGATACAAACGTATATGTAACGTTGAATAAATTTATAATACAGTTTAAAAATCAGGCCATCTTTGTGATCTGTGGTAAAATGTTTGCTCCACAAACTGTTATTATGTACCTTCTTCTAGGCATTCAAACAATTCTGCAAAGATTTCCATTCTGCAAAGATTATTTCAGGAAAAACGCAGAACGAGACAACATAAAATAGAGTCACATGAATATGGACACACACTCTATACAATCTCATTTAATTGCATAAAAGAAGAGACACAGAATGCCATTCACTCTGAAAGAATCGGGTTGCCTGGATACCCCGTACCTAGGGCACTGAGGCTGCATCTCTTGGCCCCATGACCTCAGCATGTGCCTCCTTCACTTGCCCCTGCTGCCAAGCCATTCACAGAAGTTTCTCCCTGGGTGGCTTCTTTGTCTTTCTTCTACCTCCCAGATCCCACTCTGTCATCTATCGCTCATCCCACTGTGTTGTACCTTCACTGCCCTATCTGAACGGTGAATCTAAGATGTGTACACACCTTTTAGCTTAACCAAAAACAGCTAGGACCACACAATCATTAGGCCATGTGTGCAGTCAAGCTGTGAGTATTATCTAAGAAAAGAAATGATAAATGCCAATAACAAAAACAGGTTATCATAAATTGAAAGAAAATGTAGGTATTTTAATGTGATTATCACCAGCTCTCCTACGTATATTTCCATAGTTACATTTCTGATTATTCAGAATTCTAATATAGATGATGAAAGGACCTTAAGAACATGCCTTGAACATGTCATAACAATATGCTAAGAACATACAGGTATGTGCACATAAACACATACACAAAGGAAAAAGAAGATATGAGTGTCTATCAAAAGGGAAAAAATTAGAAAAGATGATGACAATTATACAAATATGAGCACAGTACAGACATGTTGCACAGAGATAATTATAGAGTAGTAGAACCCATGGAAACAGAATGTTCCAAAAGATAATAATGTCTGTTTTTTTCTCCTTAAATTTTATAAGCTACTACTTAAATGTTTTTTTTCCCCTCATGGAAGATATCAAAATCTTTTCAAGTTTCATTGCTCAAAGGTACCACAGTAGATCACGTGCAACAATTAAAACAGAAAAATCCAGGTCATTTCCAAATGAATTGAAGTAATTCATTTAGAAGCCTGACCTTTAAAAATCATTTAAAGTACAAAATTTCACAGTTGAAAAGTTGATTAAATAATTGACTTTTTTCTAGAGTACTTAGGAAACTTTCAATTTTCTAGTTTAGTGGAAAACCCAAGAAAAGACCTTGGAAATGTCTGGCAAGGGAAAAAGAATGCATTAAAATGCATTGTACTATGTTATACTATTCCTATCAAAATTATAGTTTTTGGTGGTAATTATTCAACAAAGATAACCTTTACACATATACAAATTAGGTTAAAAAGTAGGGTAACTCGTTCCAAAGTTATTGGATAAAAGCAGAAAAGTTTTTCTCAAAATAATAATCAGGAGAATTTTATAGACAAAAACATACATTTAAATGGACCTCCAATTAAAACAATTGTAAATTATAGCAAAACTTCACTGCTAAGTTTCTGAAATATTTATTTTGCAAATTTGAGTTGCCAATATAAATCACATATGATTTAGAATTACTATACATTATGTAATAACTATTTAAAATAAACTACTCATTTCTTTAACAAGATAAAAATTATAGATCAGAACTTTAAATTTAATTTTTATTTAAAGGAAAACAAAAATTTACAGATATTTGATATGAAATTGTTCACACATGAAACACATCCCTTATGTAACACTAAGAATACTTTGTGTAAGAGATATGCTTAGAGATAAAGTTATGAATTCTTATTTTTAAAAACCTGTAAGATGATTTTGATTTGAAACTCTAAAATATCTGATATGTGGTATGAAAATTCTGGGTCCAGTCATTATTCTTGAATGTTGTATTTTCATTTGTAGAAAACTTTTAAACAGAGGAGTCAGACTTTGGTTCACAGTTTACAAACTTCACACAAATTTTGTAATGATAACCTGTTACCCACAGAGGACTTTCCTAAACAAAAACAATATGATATTTACTAATTTTACACAATCTATTGTAAAACGTTCTTGGGTTTGAATTTTTAACCAATTGGAATTTAAAGTGAACAATGTTAAATTAACATAAAACATAAGCAATATCAGAAAAAGAATAGGACACAGACAATTAACACCTGAGATAAACATATATAATGTAATAATTTTTTTTTACATTGCTCAAGTGATCTAGTAACCTATAAACCATGGAATTTCTAATCTAGTAATGGTTAGTTGTCAACTTCAGTAATTAAAAATACTACCCAGTGTAGAAAATACACTCTTCTGTTAATTTTAAAGATATTTACTGTTTGCTAATTTTTAAACAAATTATTTACTCAAATAAATTTTTGCCATCATGTGCTGATTCCTATGACTCGTTATTGACCATTATTTTAAGATGATATAAACATGTTAATTACTAGAAAGAAAATCTTGTTTTAAAATTACTGAGAAGTGTGAGCAATTATCCAAATGAAGGACTCCCATTTATGCCTGCAGGTTAAGGTTCAATTAATGATTTGTAGTTTTTCAATGTTTTATATAAATAGAAAATCTAATGATTTACATTCTGAAGTAAATACTGCATATAAAATTATAGACAACAACAAATACAAAATTTGTTCAGGAACTTGATTTGATTTTAGAAGATATGCTCTTTAACACAAAATGCATTTTGTAAATTGTCTTAAGCTTAAAGACACATATTCACTTTTATTATTTAAAAAAATTTTTTTAAATGCATTTGGAAAATGTTTGCTAGTGGAAATGCATCAATTTTTATTTCCCTAACCTTACTTCACATTGTAACACAGAATTAATTTTATAAAGGCAAAACTTTGATGTGCTGTGAAATTAATAACGGTCTAATTTTTATAAGCAAAAGATTTATAGAGGTAGTATTTCCAATTCAAACAGAATTTTGTTGGGCTTTAATTTTTCTACAAAGTCTTGAAATAGCTTTTTCTTTTTTTAGTTTTGCTTTAAGATGCTTAGAAGTATTTCAAGTATTCTACAGATAAGGATTTTGGAGAACATTGAATTCTTTCCAAAAAGAAGCTATTTGACTGTTCTTTTAGTCCACTGTAAGAAGTCTTACATACTGTTCCCCCTCCAAAATCTCATTTTCACCTGAAATCATTGTATTCAGTTTTTCTCAGCAGGTAAAGTATACATTTTTACAAGGTTTCAAATTTCAAAATTCTAATCATGCATTTAGCTAAGAACGCCTCTTTGTGTGTGCGCGTGTGTGTATTATCTTGCAGTTCTGTTATTTACACTAAATTTTAGTCTTTTTTGGCTCCTCTGGAATACCTCAGGGACCCCTCAGCAGTTGCTAACCACTTAATAATTGTGACCCCGTCAGTCCCTTCAAGTAGATCGTTAACCACAAGAGTGCCTGACAATTTCCAAACCATATCCTCTGTCCAAAAGGAAAAGATAGGGCTTTGTGAGGCCGAAAGGAAGCGAAAGAAAACAAAACAAATGCAGCTCATGCTGAAAGTGAAAAGTGCTTGGATAGATTAGTATTTTCTTTTCTGCAAGGCATCCTGCCAAGCTTCCCACCCCCTCCCCCTTAAGAGAGAAGACTTATTTTTTTGGTCTGATTCTTCAGTTTCTTGGAAAGTTTTGGTATTTACCATCCCCATCGTTCCCTCATTATTGTTGGTTTTTTTTTTTTTCCTCATCCGTCCCCATCCCACGCGGCTGATTACCACCCCCCCCAATCCTCACCCTGTCAAAACCCCAACTCCGGCGACCTCGGGTGTATGAACTCCGCAGACTCCAGATGACACACCCCACTTTCCTTTCCACGCGGCTTACTTTAGTCGCGGGATCCCCCCCTTCCAGATGCAATGAAAACCGGAAATTTTCTTTTAACTCCCCCCTCCGCCCCTCTCGCCCCCATCCGTGAGGATGGCTGGGGAGCCGCGAGGCTCCTAGCACAGCCGGGGCTCAGTCGCCTCCCCTCTCTCCGGAAGGCTTTAATTTGCACACTTGCTGGCCGGCCACCGCGCAGAGTCCCCCGGGCCCGGCAGCCGGGTGGGTCTCCAGCAAAGCAGGCTCGCGGGTCTCCGCCCAGCCCCGCCCCGCCCCGAGCGGCGGCCGCCCCCGCCACCTCCCCGGCTCGGGCCCCCCAGTCCCGGCCGGAGCCCCGAGGCCCCCGACCGCCCCAGCGAGCCGCGCGGGCGGCGCCCTCCGCCGTCCCTCCGCCCTCCGCCGCTGTGCCCACCCCCTTGCGGGAGAGTGCGCAGCGGACTGCGTCCCCAGTCGGGTTACCTGCTCCGCGCGCGGTGGACACGTGCGGAGGTCCGACGGACACTAGCGGCCCCTCGGGAGACCCGACGCGACTGGGCCCTCAGGTAAGGAGCGATGGGTTCGGGCGGGTGGGCTGCGGGATGCGGGGTCTCGGGGGACCTCTGGGACTTGCCCGGGTGGGAGACAGGGATTTGAGTGTGTGTGTGTGTGTGTGTGTGTGTGTGGAGGGGATAAGTGTCGGGAGGGGGCTGTGTGTCCTAGGAATCGGCTTTGGTTAACCCCTTAGGAACTGAAGCAGGCTAGGCTGTAGGGGCCAGTTTGGGGGAGCTAGCGGAGTCTTTCTTAATCTGGAGAAAGGGGGATAGCCCATACCAGGGACACCCGACCACCACCACCACACCAAGATCCTGTGCCAGTTTCCACATGCCCGTGCGCACAAACGCCCACACATACAGTTCTCATCCAGGTTCTCCAAACGGAACTTGGACTCCACTTGGACATTTACAGAATCATCCACATGCAAGGTTTAAAATGCACTGTCTCAGGGGACTCCATGCCCAAGAATGTGTTTTCGTGCCTCATGTTTGTTTCCCCACGAAAGCTCCCTCTGCAGCTTCTGAGGTGTGGGTGTGGGCTCCATCTTCCCCATCGTGAAATAAAAGTTAACGCAGGCTTCCTGCTGGCAAGCCCTGTGGGCGTGTTGTGCACCGAGGAGTGCACGCAGCCGGCCAGTGCCCAAGCTCCAAGCTCCTAGCTCCCAACTTTTTATTTTTATTATCAAAAATATAAGTTAAAATGCAAGCGCCACAGTAAGCAGCTCCGGGCCCTGCGACGCACCCGCTCGGGTGCACGTGGGCACATCTGCGTGTGCGTACACGCGGGAGTCGCGGTCCCCGGGGCGGCCTCTTCTTGCTGCGCTGGTGGCGACCCTTGCGGTGCTTGGCAGGCTTCGGGAGAGGCACATGAAGGATTTCATTGAGTGTGAAGACAGAGAGCAGAGACAGAAAGCAGAAGGAGGCGGCTGCAGCCTTTGTAGTCGCGGAGGAATGCGGAAATGTTGAAGCACTATGTCAAACTTTTTTGAAATGGGGTCAAGTCACATTCAGCCAGCGTGGGAAAGCAACAACAACAACAAAAAAAAGTGGAGGCGAGGGGGAGAAAAAGGCATTGCGGCTCCCGTTTCTCTCTGGCGAAGCCGACCGTCCGGGAGGCGCGGGGGGAGCGCGGGCGCAGCTCCCTGCGGGGGTGGGACGTCCCCGACGCTTCCTTCGCCGTGGAGCCGGGGGCCGGACTCCCGCGGCAGGGGAAGGGCGGCCGCGGGAGGGGCGGGCTGGGCGGCCCGCGGCGGCTCCCCCGCCACCTGTGTGGCCCTCGACCTGGCGCAGGCCCCCCGGGCACGCTCGGGGGGCTCTTTACTCGGCTTTTAAGGAAAGCTCCGAAAGGAGCGAATGTGAGAGGCTGTGCCCTCGCCGCGGTCCGCTCCGCCCGCACGCCGTGGGGGTCGCGCCGTTTGTCGTCTCGTTAATTCCTGGCAGAAGGCGAGCGGGCCCGCGGTGGCGGGGCAGGTAATTCCGAGGTTTCCCGGGAATTCCAGACACGCGGCTGGCGTGGCGAATGCCCCGCCGAGGTTGCGGCGACCGTGGGGGAGGTTCCCCTGGTCCTGGATAGCGACTGAATGGGGAGGGAAAATAGGGTTCCACCCCCCGCCACTCCGGTGCTTTGTTGTGCAGAGGGATAGGGGGTGGCGCCTGGGTGCAGCCCCAACCTGGCCTCCAGCCGAAGGGGGTAGGGGGGAAGAAGCAGCCACCTCCGCTGCTACCTACATTGGGGCGCTCTTGGCAGTGGGGAGTTGTTCACCAGTGCATGCCCCCAGAGCACAGCCCCCTCTCTCTTACCCCAGGAGGCGCACCATTTACTCCCCCACCTCCACCTTTTTAAAGGGAGGTTGCGTTTTGCCCAGGTTGAAATCAGTTGAAAACTTAAGGACGAGTCATGGTTATGCCATCTTGCTCCTGAAGTTATTCTTTAAGGACACGACAAGCGAAAGTGTGTCGGACACCCCTTTCCCTTACCCTTGAGATCCCATATGTATTGGGGGAGACTATCCCCCCTCCAGGGCCCCTTGCTCGTCCACCCGAGTAGCCCAAGCCCTCCCCAACAGATGGCTTGTCTTCTCTGGGTTTCCACCAGGGAGGTCCTCCGAGTCGGAGGGAGAATGCCGTTTCCCAACAAGACTCCTTTACCCTTAAGACCATTTGTGTGTGCGAGTCCTTTTTAAATGTCTCCTCGTAGAAAAACTGAAAGTAGAAAGAAAGGAAGCAATTTCCGAGCAGATGTCTGACCACCCCTACTCGCACACTCCCAGCATCGGGTTACAGGGTCCCGGGAGCCCCCACCCACATTCTGCGGCCCCACACGGGTGGACCCACAGTCCCTTCCCACCAGATTGCTCACGACCCCTGGACGCCCCCTACCCCACCCCGACCCCTCTTTCCCTGCACGTCCGGACCCTAGGAGGCGAAGAGGGCAGCGGAGCAACAATGATATAGGTATAAATATTAAGCCGTGACATTGACGTGCCCGGCGCCTCCCCTCCCCCGCGCTCCCGGCACACTCTGGGCTGCTCGGCACGCCCCCTCCCGTTCCACTGCGTCCCGCGCGGCGCTCATCCCCGAGGGGCCCCTGGAACCTCCGCGCGAAGACGGCTCCAGCCCTGCAGGGAAAGAAAAGTAACTTCGCTTTTCTCGGAGAAACCAGGAAGGCTTAGGCGCCTAGGGAGAGGGCCGGAGCGCGCGGAGGGTGGCGATGGGGGCTTGGTGGGGGAGGAAGAGGGGAGTCGTGGAGGAACCCCGAGGAAGGCTCCGGGGATGTCTGATTGCGCTTTCTTCTTGTCCTCCCGTCTCCTCTTTTTAGGTACAAGGCTTGTGGGCTGAGACGCGCTGGGGCAGAGACTATGTAACCGCCTCCGTGTCGGTGTCGAGGACTTGGCTTCGGGGAGGGCAGAGGAGGGATCGGTTCGCTCCTCCGGCGGCAGGCGGAGTTTCGCGGCGGCACCAGGGTTGCGCCAGCCAGCGAGGAGGTCGCTCCATCCAGCCGCGGCGGCCGCCAAGAGCCCCAGCACCGGAGCTCCGGATCCGGCGGGGCGAGGGCGAGCGAGCCCGAGTTCCCCCGGAGGAGACGAGCGAGAGCGAGCGAGCTAGCGAGCGCACCCCTGCCCGCCCCAGCGGCGCCGCGCCGGGCGGTATGGAGAAGGACGGCCTGAGCCGCGCCGACCAGCAGTACGAGTGCGTGGCAGAGATCGGGGAGGGCGCCTACGGGAAGGTGTTCAAGGCCCGCGACTTGAAGAACGGAGGCCGGTTTGTGGCTCTGAAGCGCGTGCGGGTGCAGACTGGCGAGGAGGGCATGCCGCTCTCCACCATCCGCGAGGTGGCGGTGCTGAGGCACCTGGAGACCTTCGAGCACCCCAACGTGGTCAGGTGAGTGGGGGAGCCGCGCCCGCGCCGTCGGGCGCCCGTGCGTCTCGGAGGCCAGGCTGGGAATCCTCCGGCCCTGGGAGGTGCGGGGTAGTGGGTGGCCCGGGCGGCCCTGCGCGACTGGCTGGCCTGACATAGTGAGAGTAGGCTTTGTCACCAGAGCCAGTGACCTTGCCAACCAGCCAGCCAAAGACCAAGACAGAAAAAGAAGACCTGCGCAGGCTTCCCTGCCCCTGGGCAGCTCCAAAATGTTTTCTCCCTGCCAGCCCCAAAGGGTCTGGGGGAGTTGGGTCCTTTTAAGGACAAAACCAATCAGACATGTCCCGCCAACCCCCACATGTTTTTCCTCATGGGGGAATTTTTGAGAGACAGAATGAAAGAGGCAGTAGGTTGCCCTGTAATAATTAGAAGGGAACCTCAAGGGTGGAGCCTGGTGCAAGCGTGAGGCCCTGAGTTCAAACTCCAGTACCACTAAAGAAAAAAAAAAAGAAAGAAAATGCAGAAATGCATGAGAATATGTTTGCCAATCACACCCACAGTTTTTTGTTGTTGTTGGTGGTATTAAAGTTGCATAATAATGATTTCTCATGGTTTAAGGAGTTTCAATACTGATGTCCAGTGTCAGACATCATCGTTTAAAAAGTGTCTTCCAAGGCCAGGCATGGGGTTACATGTGTGTAATGCCAGCAATCTGGAGGCTGAAGGAGAGGGTCGAAAGTTCAAGGCCAGCCTGGTCTAGTCTTTCAAAACTGTTACCTGTTTGTATAACTTCGTATTTTTGGACTGATACAGTCCTTAGACCACTTCTCTCAAGGGTTAGTCGTGAGTCCACGATGTGGTATCTTTAGATTCTAAATTTTCTACCCTTGCTTTCCCTAGATGGATTGTGCCAGGGGATGGAGAGGCAGCAGTTCTTAACAGTCTCTCTCTCTCTCTCTCTCTCTCTCTCTCTCTCTCTCTGTGTGTGTGTGTGAGTGATTTAAGATAATGGTGTTTTCTTAATGATCTTGGAATTTCCCCATTGTGTGGGTGTGTCATCCTTTTCTTTTTTTTAAACAGAGATGCATACTGCATAGCTTGAAGTCAAAAAGGAATGAGCACAAAAACTTCTACAAATTAAGTTGTGATTTGTACCTTTTCTCAACTCTGGATAATGTGTTGGAGAAAGGAGGTTTTGGGATTATCCTCCTTTGTTTTTATCCATCTGGGGATTCTGTTCAAATACATGCCTACTGTGTGTGCTATGGATGAAATTATGTAAATAAGCACAGCTAAATATTTTTGTAAAAAAGTCAAACAATTTAACGTTAGTCATCAAAATGGAGAGATCCAAGACTGATCTTTGAAATACCAAGCCCTCTACACACTTGGAGACCACGAATCTTCCTGGGAGGTTTTAGCTGTTTCTTCATATCCTAGGGTGGGTGATTTGTGTGGTGCTTTGTTCCTGACATGGACTCAGGCTAGAAGGCAGCAAAGAAGCATAAATGCATAAATAAGGTAGTAAAGGGTTATGAAGATGGGACTCCATTAGACCTGTACTTCAGTTAGGGGAGGAGGCAACTGGTAATGAAATTGAAAAGATGAGGTTTATATAAAAGCAATAGATTACCTTGTGTGTGTATGTGTTGAAAAACAACAAAAACCCTTGGGGGAGCGGTGTCTTTGTTATATTGGAGGAAAAGAGGAGGATACGTTTATTTCCCAGTGACTTACTTTCCCAGAGGAATCACTGAAGCTCTTCCTAAAGGATGGATTTCACCACATGAATTTGAAGACTAAAGGTTTTATTTTTGTTAGTTATCTATGGAGTGCCCAATTCAGGGTGATTATCATGTATGCAAATAAAATGATGTCCTCCCAATGAAGAGCTGTTGTATAAACACATCCATTCTTGTATCAGACGGTTGTTTCACCATTGTGCTGGTAGATTTTGACTAATTCATTTTATTCTCTTAATTTATCCTCTTAAGTTGATGTGTTTTTAGAGATTTCTAACTCAATTGTATTCTGAACTGTGACCTTTAGGATATGCTATTGAAGAAAAAGGCAGAGTTTTCTAAAATTATTTTTACTTGTTATGTGGAGTTGTGGGGAGAAAGTAAAAGAACGTAAGTGAAAGCACTTTGTAAATTTAAAAGAACTTCAAGTGTCTGAGTATTTGTATTTCAGTAGATGAGGGATACTTGCCCTGAAACAGGTTTCCAGAAGGCTGATGTCAGTTCACCTGACTTTTTTTTTTTTTGTCCTTTTTAAGTAGAATAAATCATTTTCAAACCCAGACATCACAGGCTTCAGGACCAAGAAGGTGTTTCAATATAATTAGCCTGAAGTTTGTCAGAAAAGACAATATGCCATGAAATTCGTGACACTTGAGGAAGTTATTATGAGGTCACCCTCATGAGCATAGATCTTCATTCCCGTTTTGTTTTCTTCCTGTTTTTCTGTTCTGCCTCTGCCTTAGGGCAACCACTGGCTTCCCCCCACCCCACCCCCTCTTGCTTGGCCAGACTGGGAATTCCAGATATTAAAGGTTTGCTAATATTTTTTCAGGCAGGGTCAGGAAATCAAGGATAAAGTGACAACAGTTCTTCTCTTTCCAAAGGAGAGTGCCAAAGTTGGGCCCCCAAACCTGTAATTTGTTGTTGTCTCTAGGAAGAGTTTTATAGTCTTACCCCTGGTTCTTTAAAAGTTGCTTAAAAGGGCAGAGCCTTTTTAAGTGCCTTCAGGCCATAAGTAATTGATCATAATTGTAGGCTCTCTCTGCAGATAGGTAAGCCTCTAAACTTGAAGAAGTTCAATAAACATATTAGTTTTTTCAAAAGTTTAAGATTTAATTTTGATGGATTTGCCAGAAAAGCTGACTTGTTATTGCTGGCAGTGATGCTGCATGCATACACAGGGATGAGGACTTGAAATTCTTGCTTACCTGCGCTTGAAGTCTCCCAGGCCCAGGCTTGATCAGCCAAACAGTGTCTTCAATGTAAATTTACTCTTGGTAATCCCGAATTCTGAAGCCTTTGCCAGAATTGGACGTCAGTATGTACCCGAATTGGAGCTTCTGCACTCCACAAATAAGTTCTGTTTTCCATCTTGAAACAAAACCACAGAGAGAAAAAGAAAATTGCATGTTTTATCAGCAGTGTTTTTATTCACCAAGTGAATAAAACCATCTTGCCAGACCACTTCTAGAGAAGCTTGGATGTCACAGTGAGTCAGAAGTCTTTACACTTGTAGAACATACCTTGTAACAGACAAGTACTTCTTTTTCCGTCTCTCTCTTTTAAGAATTCATTAGCCTTCATTTTAGTTGCCTTGTTTTACATTGTTTAGCCTAACCAGTTTTATAAAACAGTTTATATTTGTGATAATTTAGTTACTAGGAATTTAATGATAGAGTAGGCAAATAAACAAAATGCTAATCAGAATCAAATGCTTTTGAAGGTTAAATTTCCCTTTAGGGACATACAAATTGATCTATATAAGAAGGTATTTGCATGTAACTAATAAATATATGAACATTTGAGCTCCATTTATTTCACAAGTATTTAGGAAAGACCTTGTCTCTAAAAACCACAGGGCTAGGTGCTGGGAAAGATAGATACCTGGGTAAATCACTCTCACAGTTCCCCCTGTGTTTGAGTGATCATCATAAAACTGATACGTGAAAGAATCGTGCCACAAGTGAGATATAGGTAAGTGCTAGGGATTAAATTTTATTAGAGTAGCAGTAAAAGTAATTCACATTCAAGAATTGGTTCTACAAACTAAAGGTCATTGCATATCAGTGGATAAACTTTTGATATCTAAATGTTCTAAACGAGTTAAATTGTTATTAGAATATTTAGTCACTACTTTAAAAACAAACAAAAACTCAAAGAAAACAAAGAAAAAGTTGCATGGATCAATGATCATTCAAGGACATGCTTCTAATTTTCTCTTTAAAATTCTCAGGAATGTATAAAAAAATGTATAAAAGAAGAGTAAAAATACGATTTTCTCTAGAAAAACCTATTCATTACAGAGTAGAAAAATATAGCATGTTATTTGGCTCAGCATAAAGCCAGGTATTTGGTGGGTTAGTTCATGGGGATCCTGTAAATGACAGTGGTTTTTGAGGGGAGTAAATAATCCACTTGATAGGAATTGTTTCAGTGAGTTTACATCTCCATTTAAATTTCAGTATGTTAAAAAAGTAGGATCGATCCTTCATTCTCAAAGAGTTCCTTGAAAAGCTTCCAAGTTAGCAAGGTTGATTAGTAAACAGACATTTTCACAATGGTATTCTGCTCATTCCTGATTCTACAGAAGAACTTGATAATGCTGAATTTGTAACTTTGCAGTTGTAGCCTTTTTTCTATAACTATTATCATCATGGAATTATTAGAATTTCTCTATAAAGTCAAGGGAGAAATGGGCTGTAAGAGGGAAAATTATATAAACTTGAATACCTTTCGGAGGGGAGGAAGGTACTTTCTTGTGTTTAAGATTTGGATAAGCTAGTACCTGTTGGGATAGACTTGTTGTTAACAGTAAATTTTTCTGTTTTTTGAAAAAGAAATATGCCTCACTATTAATGATTCCTAAGGAACTTTTTAAAAGAAGGAAACGCCCCATACTTGTGTCACTGTAAAAATCATGGGTATTAGGGTTAGAAGACACTTTGTAAATCTTTCAGCCTTTTTATGTTACAGATAAGGAAACTAAAGCCCAGAGGTCAAGCAGCTCATCTGTCATGCCATTGTAAGGTGGTGGACTTGTTCTTAAATCTGGGTAGCAATTAAACATTTTCATTTGTTTGGTGTAAGAAGGTAAATCAAATAAGTGCATTTCTAGTTTGGAATAAATGAACTATATGTAGACAAAGGTGATGGTTTGCCAGGACTAAATGCCATATCAATTCAGGAAGTTCCTGAATTCTGCAGTGTGCCCTTCTGCATATCTATAGAAAACAATTATTCCATTAAATTGTGCTTTTAAAGAATTTGAGTTACAATTATGAT